ACCTCATGAACAAATGAACGAAGGAACAAAAAAAAGAAGAAGAAGAAGAAAAGCAAAGAAAAAGAAAGAAGTTACTAACAACGAGAGAAGAAGAAAAAATAATAATAAACTAGTTATATGTACCTATATACATATAAGCACATATATATATGGTGAGAGGGTCCAACTTTAGTAGGGTGCAACATTTGTGTTGCAATATATTGTCAGGACATCAGGTGGCTCTGTAGTTTTAGGGGACAGACCACACAGCTGATAACCTCTCTCTAGATCCCAGGCATAGACCTGATCCCCAACTTAATGTCTGTGGTGATCACCTGATTATTTCCTCAGCATTCAGGTTTCACTGGGTTTGGACTCAGATCTCTCCAGACTCCTTCAGAGGCAGGTCTCACCGTGTCCCAAGAAAACACTTCCTGTGGGGTGCAGAGGTCCGATTCCAGCAGACAGAACTAAGATGGCTATGCTCCTATAGGAGGTCCATCCTCAAGACCTTCTCACAACCTTTCTATAATGGCTGCTGATCCCTTGTTGCCAGGACTTTCCCAGAATCACCATCTCTACCACTGCCAAAACTGTGGCAAATCCACTCCAACCAGTTCTTAAATCTGACTGCTACATACTGTTTGGAAGCGCCCAAGTTCTAGGCAAACTACTCAATGCTCTTCTCCCGAAAACAGAAAATTGCAACAAGGCTTCCTCATCACTCAGACCTTTGTGGCTCCCAGGGTGGCTCTCTGCAGCACCTGCCGCCCATGGCTCCTGCCAGGAGCTCGCACAACAGTTGGCTAATTTGTCAGACCTGGGCCCTCAGTTCACACACAGCAACAAGCCCGCCACTGCCTCACAGCACACTCTGAGCCACAACTCCAGGTAAAATTTTCTCACCAAATGCAGCCTAAATTTCTCCCATTTTTCAAGATTTAACTCTTAAAGTGAGTCTTAGAGTGAGTACCTGAGTGGTGACTGAGAAGCAATAACTTATTATATTTTAATATATTTCATTTCTTGCATCATCAAACAACTGCATGACATAGCTATAATGATCATCATTTTTCTAATAGAAAACTGAGGCTTAGAAACAAACATTGGCAAGTAGGTGAGGGATTCCAAGGCCCCTGACCCCCCTCAATGTGTTCCATACCTCAAAATGGTTTCCTATATTTTCTGACCAAACTTTCATACTTTCAAAATTTCTAACTTTTTGCTAGACTTAATTAAATTAGTAAGAAACTTAGAGAAAGCAATATCAATAAAATAATTCAGTGTATCAGGGTAAATGATAACCACTTTCTCCTTTCAAATATTTTTGCCTTTTCATAAAAGGATGCAATGAGTTAGGTGAGCAAACCACAACCATGAATTTTCCCTAAGTTCCTACATTTACAGCTGTTGCCATTTTCTGTGCCTCTTTCCTCTTTCCATTTCAGAACTCATTTATGTATGAAGACTTTCCTGAAATTGAGACTATAACACATGAGATGCAGAGGAGAAGGTAAAACAGGATCACAGAAGAGTATACTCCAGTGATCATCCCCCTGCAAGGACATCAAATTGAGCAACTATCCAGGAAAGGAAACATTCCCAATACCTAAAGAAACCAAGTAAGAGATCACAGTAACTGTTTTTAGCATAAAACGGGTAAAGAGGGAGAAGGGAGGGGGGAATGGGTGGAGGGAGGGGGTTTGGAGGGATTACTTCTGAGGTTTACCTTATAGGGGTACAGGTGAATCTTTCTAAGAGTAGAATGTGAACGTTTTAAAGCAATAACTGAGAAAATGACATGAAGGCTGTGTTGACCAGTTGATGGAAGTATTTCAGATTGCATGTGAAAACCCCACACTGTACCCCAGAAGTGCATTAATGTACATAGTTACCATTCAATTAAAAAAAAAAAAACGGGTAAAGATGCATTGAAGTGGGCAGGAAGAACAGTCTCACATTGCCTACACTCTCCCTTTAGCAATCCCATGAAGTGCAACATAGAGAATCTGTTGTCTTAAGAGAGGCAGAAGGGAGTATATATGAGATTTTGCCTGGGAACCCAGTACCAGCCCCACCCCATCACAGTAAAACACAGCACCAAACAGAACTCCATAGCCTCTGACTCCAGGACAGTGGCCATGGACACTTAGACCCATCTCAAACCAAAAAGGAAACTACTGAAGAAAGATGGTGACAAACAAGGCCAGACAGTGAAGACTAGAATAAATACATAATTCTTCAATGACCAGATATCTATGTGCATCCATAAGTATTAAGAGCATTCATAAAAATACAACCTCACCAAATGGAATAAATAAGGCACAAGTGGCCAAACCTGGGGGAGGAGAAAGGGGATGAATAAACTCTCAAACAGATAATTCAAAGTACCTGTTTTGAAAGCACAAATAGCAAAGAGATTCAAATAATAATAATAAATACAGAAATCCTGGTTCTGAAAAATACAATAGACAAGTTGAAAAAATGTATGTGTATTTGAGGATCTGAAATGGAAAAACATACAATACTCATGGCTAGGAAGAATCAACATTGTTAAAATTTCCATATTACCCAAAGCAGTTTACAAATTTAATGCAATCCCTATCAAAGCACCACTGTCATACTTTAAATATCTGGAAAAATTAGTACTTTGTTTTATATGGAAACAGACAAAACCGCAAATAACCAAGACATTACTCAGAAATAAAAACAAATCAAGAGGAATCATGCTACCAGACTTCAAACTATACTATAAATCTATAGTGATCAAAAGAGCTTTGTACTGGCACAAAGATAGAGATGTAGATGTACGGAACAGAATTGAGAACCAAGAGATGAAACCAGACAATTATCATCATTCGATCTTTGATAAGCCTATCAAAAATATAAATTGGGGAAAAGATTCCCTATTTAACAAATGGTGCCAGGTGAACTGGCTGGCAAATTGTAGAACACTGAACTGGATCCACACCTTTCACCATTAACAAAAATTGACTCTTACTGGATAAAAGATTTAAACTTAAGACATGAAACTATAAAGATTCTTGGAAAGAGTGCAGGAGAAACACTTGAAGAAATTGGCCTGGGAGAATACTTCATGTATGATGACCCCCTACCTCCCAGGCAATTGAAGCAACACCAAAAATACATTACTGAGATCTGAACAAATTGAAAAGCTTCTGCACAGCCAAGAACACAGTAAGTAAAGCAAGCAGACTGCCCTCAGAATGGGAGAGGATATTTGCAATTTATGCCTCTGATCCACAGAGAACTCAAACTTATTAATAAGAAAATAACAAGTAATGCCATTTCATTGTGGGCAAGGGACTTGAACAAAAGTTTCTCTGAATAAGACAGGCACATAACCTACAGACACATGAAAAAAAGCTCATCATCTTTAATCATCAGAGAAATGCAAATCAAAATCACTTTGAGATATCATCTAACTCCAGTAAGATTGGATCACATAACAAAATCCCAAAACTATAGATGTTGGCATGGATATGGAGAAAAGGGAACACTTCTGCACTGCTGGCAGGAGTGTAAGCTAATATATCCCTTTTGGAACAAAGTATGGAAAATACTCAGGGATCTAAAAGTATACCTTCCATTTGATCCTGTAATTCCTCTACTAGGTGTATACCCAAAAGACCAAAAATCACATTATAACAAAGATATTTGTACCAAATTTTTCATTGCAGCTCATTTCATAATAGCCAAGTCATGGAAGAAGCCCAAGTGCTCATTGACCCTTGAATGGATTAATAAATTGTGGTATATGTATACCATGGAATATTATGGAGCCTTAAAAAAGATGAAGACTTTACCTCTTTTACATTTACATGGATGGAGCTGGAACATATCCTACTTAGTAAAGTATCTCAAGAATGGAAGAAAAAAATATCCAATGTACTCAGTACTATTATGAAAACAACATACAATCACTCATACTTTCACATGAAGAATAGATCACAACTATGGCCTAAGATGAAGGAGGGAGGAGGGGGATAGGAGGGGAAGGGGCAGTCAGATCAAGGGAGGGTGAATAGTGGGATCACACCTATGGTGCATAATGCAAGGGTATATGTTGGATCTATTAGTATAGAATATAAATGTCTTAACACAATAATTAAGTAAACAAAATGAGGTATATATTAACCAGTATGATGTAAGTGTTCCTAATTCTATGTGAAATCAGCACATTGTACCCCATAATTGCATTAATGTATACACAATCTATGTGTTTATTATTTAATAATTAAAAAAATACTTATCACACTTGCTATAGCTTTTCTCTGATATACTATTTTGGGAACATTGGTAAATTTAGAGATAATTATAGCTAATCCATAACATAATTAAAGAATTTTACAATTTAGAAAACATTTCTCCTTTTATTTTCTTATTTTATTCTTACATAATTCTGTATAATGAGAAAAGGGGCATAATTATTCCCATTTAAAGATGAGAAAACCAAATCTAAGCATAATCAAGTAATTCCTACAGTCACACACACACACAAAAATTTTTTTTTGAAGTTTTTGGCCAGGGCTGGGTTTGAACCCGCCACCTCTGGCATATGGGGCCAGTACCCTACTCTTTTGAGCCACAGATGCCGCCCCAAATTTTACATATGTATTTAATATCGGACCAACTATGACTTCTTATTCTTCAGGGTAGTTTTTTAACAAAATAAACTATGTTTAAAACAAAATCAAAAATTTTTGCTGACCTATTTTTAAAGATCCTTACTAAATGCATTCATAAAATAAACATCCTAAGGAAATTCTTTTGCTAGTGTATATTATAAAATCTGATGTATATTGGGTTTATCTTTGACTATCTTTAATGATAAACTTTCCTCCATATTATTCTTACATTTCAAGATATATTTATATTTTATAGTGAACTTAGTCCACTTATACCTACTTTGTGCTACAAATAAATACTGAAATGTTTACCTTAAAATGTTTAAAACAAAATAAACATAACCAATAAATAAATTTGTTTTAAAAACTTACATAGCATATGGATTCATTACACAGATGGTTTCTGAACATTGACATTCTTTTGGGTCATCATATGATATTCCAAAACTACGTGCCAGCATCTGGGTCACAATAATTGAAAATGCCTCCAGAGTTATCTCCTTGGAATACTACAATAACAACAAAGAAAATTCTGAGTAAAGAAAATTCATTTAAGGGTGGCAAAAAATATTTTTCTAATTATGAATATTCTTATTATTTTATCAAAGTCTTAATATACTTCCTTGAACAAGTAAGAAGCTGAACCACTTCTTATTACATTTTACTGAAATAACAGGCACACTGAGTCTATGCCAACCTTTGCCATAATTTAACAATTGAATACCTAACAAGTTTTAGGTAGCTGTTTTTAGGAAGAAAATTTACATTAGACTTTTAGCTATATGGATCCTAATCTTTGATTCACCCAATTTCTTAAACAGCTTGATATTCATTTCAAATAGTTCATATGACCTCCTACCAGCCCATGAAGTGGCTACATAACCAAATAACCCAATTTAAGTTATGCTATCTGCTGCCTGCTGGGACATTCATTGATGTAATAACTGGTATCAAAAGAAACCACAGAAAACAGATCCTCTATAACATTCCTGTATTAGGCTACTCATGTATTTAATAAGTACACAAATAATTCCCTTGCCACAGAGAAATGAATACTGGCAATTCATGATATGCAATGACATCATGATTTCTCAAAGCTGTTGTAAAATAAGGTTCAGGAAGAGGCCAAATATTCAGAAATATCAAGACATATAATTGCTATGGTGACGATACAAGTAATAAATATTTTTTTATTTTTTTTATTAGATCATAGCTGTGTACATTGATACTGTCATGGGGTACAGTGTGCTATTTTTATATACAATTTGAAATATTCTCATCAAACTAGTTAACATAGCCTTCATGTCACTTCCTTAGTTATTGTGTTAAGACATTTATATTCTTCATTTAGAAAGATTCACATGTACCCTTATATGAACCATAGGCTTGATACCACCAATCATCCTCCCTCTACCCATCCTCCCCCCTCCCTTTCCCTCCTTCTCCCTTTTCTCCATATACTTGGGCTATAATTGGATTATAGCTTTCATATGTAGGGCTGAGTACATTGGGTATTTTTCTTCCATTCTTTAAATACTTTGCTAAGAAGAATATTTTCCAGCTCCATCCATGTAAACATAAAGAAAGAAAAGTCTCCATCCTTCTTTAGGGCTGCATAGTATTCCATGTTGTGTATATATACTACAGTTTATTGAGCCATTCGTGCATTGATGGGCACTTGGGCTTCTTCCATGACATAGCAATTATGAATTGGGCTGCAGTAAACATTCTGGTACAAATAACTTTAATGTAGTGTGATTTTTGGTTTTCTGGATATATACCTAGTAAAGGAATTATAGGATCAAATGGCAGGTCTATTTTTAGTTCTCTAAGTGTTCTCCAGATGTCTTTCCAAAAGAAACATATTAGTGTGCAATTCCACCAACAGTGTAGAAGTGTTCCCTTTCCTCCACAACCACACCAGCATCTGTGATATTGTGATATGGGCTAATCTTACTGGTGTTAGATGATATCTCAAAGTAGTTTCAATTTGCATCTCTCTGATGACTAAGAATGATGAGCATTTTTTCATATATCTGTAGGCCATGCACCTGTCTTCTTCAGAGAAGTTTCTCTTCAAATCCCTTGCCCACCCTGAGATGGGATCAGTTGTTCTTTTCTTGCTAATACACTTGAGTTCTCTGTGGATTCTGGTTATTAAATCTTTGTCAGAGACATAACCTGCAAATATCTTATCCCATTCTGAGGGCTGTCTTCTTGCTTTACTTACCGTGTTCTTGGATGTGCAGAAGCTTTTTAGTTTGATCAGGTCCCAGTAGTGTATTTTTGATGTTGCTTCAATTACCCAGGGGGTCCTCCTCATAAAATTTTCACTCAGGCCTATTTCTTCAAAACTGTTCCCTATACTTTCTTGTAGTTTTTTTTATAATTTCATGTCTTAAATTTAAATCTTTAACCCAGTAAGAGTCTATCTTACTTAGAGGTGAAAGGTGTGGATCCAATTTCAGTCTTCTGCAGGTCGCCAGCCAGTTTTCTCAGCACCATTTATTAAATAGGGAATCTTTTCCCCAGCCAATGTTTTTAATTGGCTTGTCAAAGATCATATAACGACAAGGAGCTGGGCTCATCTCTTGGTTCTCTGTTCTGTTCCATACATCTACCTCTCTGTTTTTGTGCCAGTACAATGCTGTTTTGATCACTATCGATTTGTACTATATTCTGAGGTCTGGTAGCATGATTCCTCCTGCTTTGTTTTTATTTCTGAGTAATGTCTTGGTTATTTGAGTTTTTTT